AATGACGGGGGATCATTCCCCAAGTTTAGGGAGCAGAAAAGATACTCAGAGAAGCTGAGCGCTGGAGATGTCACAGTCCCCCGCATCACTAAGGCGCCAGCATGATCACTACAATGCAACAGGAAACAGATGGCATTGTCACTGCGGCGGCCCACGGCTCCGATGGGAGGTTCTGTTCTCATCACAAGGTTAATGATGTCTGCAAAGTTTAGCGGTGACAAGTCTGGGAAAAATGCGTTCCCCAACTCATTTTCTGAGAATGACAGTCAAAAAGTGAAGGCAGAGCCACCCTCACTCCTTCACGCCCTGGGCCCCACAAATTAGGGTGCTATTTTGGCTTCCTGTCTCCCAAAAGAGCAAGGGGTCTGGCAGAGGGGCTGTGCCCACCCGGAGCCTGTTCCCCCACTTCTAGAGCACAGCCCAGGTACCCGGGATCCTTGGAGTTCAAGCTCAGGCAAGCACTTCCAGGGCTGAGAGGCTCTTCCCTGGCTGGCGTGTCCTCCTGTGGGTGCAGCAGCCCTTGGCGTGCGCCTCCATCTGGGATGGTGGCTGCGGCTGCTTGTGAACAGGGTCTGCATGTGCAGGCAGGCTGGGTTGTGACCAATGTGAGCACAGGGTCCCTGGAGGTGCAGGGCAGAGCTGTGTGGGGGAAGCCAGGAAGCTGGCTGTGGGCCGAGGGCCAGGTGTCCTGTCCTACGGGGAGAGCGGAGGAGCCTGAGAATTCAGAATTCACACCTGGGCTCCCAGTTGTTATGAAGGTGTATTTATCAAACTACAAGATAAGCTTTGTTCTATGTAACAGTTTGTTAGCTTGACTTAGGAACTCCAAATATTTAAACAATGCAATAAATGGGCATCTCTTTGTCCTCTTGCTTCAGGCCCCAAATATACTGGGGGCCAGACCAGGAAAGGGGCCAAGGGAGAGCAAAAGAGAGGCTAGGGATGTCAGAAGGCCAAGTGCACATCTCACCAACGTGGGCTCAGGCTGGCTGGGCCCTGAGCTCCAGACGAGGGACCCTGCTGCCTCAGTGCTTCCTTCCCAGGGACTTTATGTCCCAGCCCTGGAAGTCCCTGGGCTTGAGACTTCCCAGGGACTGAAGGGCTTTATGAGAAGTTCTGTTTTGGAAGACTTCGGTGAATAAGAAGATTGGTGCCTTGAGGGGTGAGGGAGACACTGCCCTGTTACAGGTCAGCTGAGGCTGCATTTTGGTGCCTGGGACTCCCAGTGCACACGGACTGAAGGCCCCATGACAATACAGCCGGAACTACAGGGCTGAGACTTCAGGTGCTGCTTTCAAAGGAATAACTGGACCTCATCTGTATCTCAAACCTCCACTTCTGGAGGTTCTCAGAACAAATACAGCTAAGTCTTGGCCCACCTCGTTGCAACAGTGGCTCCTCCGTGGGATGGCTCCTTCTGTCTTCGTTGTGTCCTTTTTAAAGACGAATGCATTTCGCTGGACATTTGTCTCTGATAGTGGAAGTCACCCTTGTTCCTTAACAAAAAGCAATGTGTTTTCTTCTGCTGATAGCAGATCTTTTACTCGTGAGAGAAGGCCACCAGGGACAACGGACACATTTCTCCCCGGGATGTTTCCCAGTGAGCTACTTTTGTCTCGAAAAAGTTAACTCCTTAAAGGAGAAACTGATTAGACCATTATTCTATTAATCATAGGTCTAGCAAGATCACATCATCTTGGTTAAACTAAAGTTACAAAAATCAACTAGTCAGAGTCCCATTTTATTTGGTGGGCTCCTGCCTGGCATTTTAGGAATGTCCACACTGGAGAACGCTGTGTTATGTCAGAGGATCTCAAACATCAGTGTGGGGAGCATGAACAAGTGATGAGTGATTCCTTAAAGAAGCAGAGGCTTAGCCCACAACCCTGTCCTCCACGAGCAGAATGGGGGCTGGAGCTGGGAAGTCTGCTCGTCCGATTATCGGCCCACGTGATTCTGATAGAAGCAAACTGGGAACAGTGTAGGGAAAATGTAGAGACAGTGGTATCCTCATGCCTATGCAGTCTCCAGAGGGAGGTCGTAGAGGCAAGTTTGGGAAACAAAAATCTATATTTTTTTAAGTAAAGTGAAAGGGAGAAGGTTGCACTGGGTCCATACTGGAGTCAGTCCAGCACATGGCTAATAGATATTTTCTGAGACATTTGCAGATGAGCTATGATCCTATCTGGGGTTTGTTTCCAAATAATGAGCTGAGGGAAGGGTGGGTGCAGATGGAATGGGGTTGGTTGTACAGTGAACTTAGTGAGGGCTGGGTGATGGCATATAGAGCTCATTGCAGTATTATTATTATGTCATTCTGTTGACTTCTATATGTGTTTGAAAACGTCTGTTATATGGCTGGTCACAGTGGCTCGCAACTGTAATCCCAGCACTTTGGGAGGCCAAGGTGGGAGGATCACTTGAGCCAGCAGTACAAAACAAGCCTGGGTGAGACTATGTCTCTACAAAAAATTTTTTTAAATTAGCCAGGCGTGGTGATGTGCAAATGTAGCCCCAGCTACTCAGGAGGCTAAGGCAAGTGTATCACTCTAACCCAGGAGTTCAAGGCCAGCCTGGGCAAGATAGCAAGACCCTGTCTCTACAAAAATAGAAAACTTAGCCGGATATGGTGACACATGTCTGTAGTCCCAGCTACTCGGGATACTGAGGTGGAAGGATCACTTGACCCCAGGAGTTGGGGGCTTCAATGAGCTATGGTTTCACCACTGTACTCCAGCCTGGACAAAAAAAATGAGACTCTGTTTCAAAAGAAAAAAAAAAAAAGCCCATTATAAAAAGTTAAAATTGCAAGAAAAAAATTCACAAAGGCGTCATCTTGCAGGACTAGAATTTAAGGACTAATTCTTTGTTCCCATGAAAACTTGCATAAACATAGAAATTAGCAGAGAAATGAAATTTGCTCTGAGAAACAAATTGTATGTGGCCAACTGCACTGGAACATATTCATTACACGAAACGAGGAGTGACTGAGTAATGGTTTTAGTGTAGAATTAAGCAATGACTGTGGAAAAGGATTCTTTCTTCTTTGTGGTTCTTATCTAATTGCCATGACTTTTATATAACAGCCTGAAAAACAACAGCAGTAACAGCACGTTGTTGCAAAATATTATCTCCGAACGAGGGGAGCTTTTGTTGAAGGAAGAAGGTGTCTTGGAAATTTTGTTGGCTTTGCTTTATAAGCTAGGTGCTGATTCACGTGCCTGATTGCTTGTTAGCGTCCAATGAGCAGAAACTCCCAGAAACGGCAGCGCTGGGCCCAGGCAGCTGTGAGGTGGGGTCAGGGCCCGGGAGGAGGGTGGCAGAAGAACAAGGAACGAGGGTCTCAGAGCCCGGGGGAAGGACGGCCCAGCTGGCCCATGACTGGCCCCAGGAGTGTCTTCGCATAGTTTGGTTGACACTCTATTCCTCCAGTTTTCTGATCAAACAATAATTTTTACCTCTGATATTATTGAAAGGTTGTCTTACTAATTATCTAACAGAGGAAGATAAACAATCAAACAGAAAATGTGGAAAATAAACTCACAACACAACTACCCCATTGTTTTAATTAGAACCCCTGTGGTCTAACTCACTGTCTTTAGACTTGGTGTTCTCAGCTGGGAAGGACCCTCAGCAGAGCACGGCTTCACTCCAGCTCTTTCTCTTGACTCTGGCTGGACAGATTTCAAGGACAGAGATAAGCTGGAAGGAGCACCTGCAACAGCTGCAGCCGCTGCTGTTGTTGTAAGTCTGCTGAAGCAGAGAAAAAAATAAAGGCCATTTTTACCCTTTAAAACTCCAAACAGCTTTCCTCAATTGCCTGACAATTTTTTCCTCCCTCCGTGTGTTGTGGCCACTCTCTCTCTCTCTCTCTCACTCTTTCTTCTTTCTTTCTTTCTCGGGAAAATAAATACGCTTTTACTTCTGCATATCCTGATCACTGAGAATTCTTCATCCAACCCACCGTGAACACCTAGTAAGTTTACACCCTAACAATTATCCGGGCCTGCTGAAGTCCACCCTGGACACAAAACTCAGGGACCCAGCCCTGGCCTGTTGTTGTCCCTGGTCCCCGGCTCAGCCCAGTGAAAACCCTGCAGCGAACCTTTCCCTGGCTGGACCCTGGAATCGCTCACCCCTAGAACTGCCTCCCACACCCTCGGAAGCCAGGGGAAGCTGGCTCAGGTGGGGTAGGGAAGTGCCTGTGAGGGGAGCCAGGGCTTAACCCAGGATAACAGTAAGACCAGTGATGATGAATTTGACTGTCGACTTTTCCTGTCTTCTCACCTTCGTAGCAACACGTGGAAAGGAAGACGTACGATCCAATTCACAGACAAGGACACCGGGTATGTGCCAAGGCCATGACCCAGGTGGGATTTGAACTCCAGGTCCTTTGACTCTCCTACACAGCCTGGCCCATGACTCGTGGAGCAGGAGGTCCAGCAGTGTGGGGCAGGCAGTCAGGGGACAAAGCCAGAGCGGGGACAAAGCAGTGTCCACACCGATAGAGGGGAGATGGCTCTCCAAGTCTCTCAGCCAGGGCTGCCCTCACAGACGCTCAGCAAGTTCTTCCACGGTAAGAAACTTCAGGGAAAGCTCGGAGGAACTTCTCTGGAGGAAACATCTGGGAGATGCCTGCTCCCTGTGCACCATGCTGTGCTGGGTGCCACAAGGCATAGCAATGACCTAAGAGCAGCAGGTCTTAGCAAATTACTGACTACAGCTCTCTAGGAAAAAAAAAAAGAAAAAAACCATTTGCAGTGTTTGCCTCTTGCTGTGGTGTAAATATCTCTACCATGGCCAATGTCAGCCTACCACCAGATGTTACTGAGAGCGCAGTCAGCAAGAGATGTGCGTAGCCCACCATTAAATGGAATTTCCATCATAGGGACACCGCAGCCATAAGTAACCTCAAGAGCGCAGATCTGAGCAAAAATCATTAGGAATTCATGAGTTTTTCATATTTATTACCTTTTAAACATCATTCATTTACTTGTACATTTACATAGTTGATTTTGAATTATGACTGTGTTTAAGAACCAGCTTGTGAAATTCTTGAAAGTTTTACAATCAACTCTCTAAACAAGCGCAAGCCAGCACGGGCCGGCTCCCACGTACCCCCGGGTCTGAGGCCTCCAGCTCTGGCAGTCTACAGGGCAGAGAAAGGTCAGTGGTTCAAGGACAACTAAGGAGTAAACCTATCTGGTGCTGCATTATGGTGGGGTAGACAGGCCTAAAAGCGGATGATAAAATCTTAAACCATTGGTGGTAGAGGACACTTGGGCAATCGTTGGTCCAACCCCCGCAGAGAGAATGGAGAAGTACAACTTCAGTCCAGCCAAGGAGCTGTGGTTTTAGCTAATAACGGAAGTCCAGCGTGTTTTTCTGAAGTGCAGGGCAGGGATTTCAGAAAGCTGGTCAAATGCTCATTCTATTAGAATCCAGGGCAGGAAATTGCGTCAGTTTGGCTGTCAGCTGTTGTTTACACGCATGCCATACCTGTCTCTCAGCTAGTCTGCAGGGGCTGGCTTCTTCTTGCCAGGCGCCCTGGGTTCCCGTCTGTGGACCGCTGCTGACTGCCTAAACAAAAGGACAGAGCGTGGGGCGAGGTGGTGACAAGGCTCCTGAGATAAACTGGAAACATCCATGTTTCCTGGCCAGGGAGTTTCTCCCTTGTTTTAGGTGCAGAAGGAGCTGCCCTGTGCACCAAGGGCTCCGTGCACGGCCCCATGTGAGTGCCGAGCTCCCCACCGGCCTCTGGGGTCATAGCTGTCCCAGCTTAGCGCTGCATTCATCCTGTGCAATTGTTCCTTCTCATCCAATATTGCTACTTAAAATCCTACTTTGAGAAAGACAACAAGATTAGGAATCAGGAACGCTGGGTTATCTGTGGCAAGGCTGGTGGCAATTTTCAAACCTGGTAAGAGGAAGGTTTCCTCTCTGATCCCTGGTTTTCAGTTATACCCACTTAATGTGCCAGTAATGTTTTAACTCACTGATGCTATGAGAGTAAAACTAGCAAGGTGTGAACAGATTTTTAGACTGTGTCGTGTTTAAGACCTGTTTGTTATCATTGGCTCCACTGTCATCCTACCTATATAGCAAGCTTCCTGAGTCTCCCAGGATTCCAGTTTTGTCACCTTGACCTGGCGACACCCCATCACTTGGAAAAGCTTTTGTGGGTTACCCCAGGCTCCAGCTGGCACACTGATGTTAGGGGGACTCAGCCCCGTGGGGATAATGAACAAGGCAACTGGGAGAGCTCGTGGGTCTGCAGGTCACTGTGGCTGCAGGTGAAGGGCTGAAGACAGCCAAGGCCAAGCTGGATACCGCAATCCCAGGGGCCCCATAATGGAAGCCTGGAGCCCAGAGTTTGGAGAGGGTTATTCCCAGTCCCCGGAAGAGTGGAAATCCCCGCCTCTCCCAGATGTTACTGGAATGCAGGCTCCGTGCCCTACAGCTGGTCGGCAAAGGTCTCACAAATTCATCCTCACAAATCCGCATCCCAAAAAGCCCACTAATATTTTGTAGCTCTTGTACATTCTTTGTGATTGCAACTGATCATTTCCTCTCCCTGGTTTAGAGAGGTATCTGGGGAATTTTAGCTAACTCTTTCATTCTGGTCTTTAATTCAGGGCCTTATGAAAAAATTGGGTAAAATGAACATGAAAAGAGGCCTCAGGCATAATTAAAATGATCTTCAATATGTTCAGAAGATCATGGGAAGGGTGCCTCTTTCAAACCTGCTTCTCCACGACCTGCCAGGCGAGAGGACACCCACCATCCTGTGACCAACTCCCAAGCTGGGGACACAATCTGTGGGAAAGGGAGGTTTGGAGAGAACAGACTAGGCCTATGTTGGTCTTTTACACTAAGCACGTGTTTGCATGCTTCTCAGTTGTGATTTTATAGCCACTCACCTTTCTCCCACCTGTAGTCCTCTACACTGGACTTGAGGAACATGGCCGCTTGGGAAAATCCAGAAGTCAACAGGGCTGAAGTCACAGCCAGTGGCTATGTTACTGTCTAACTGAAAAATACAACAGGAACAAAACCTCACAAATTGTTAATATAGAGATTCCACTGGGGATACTTATGAAAAGTGCTTTAGGTAGAGGACGCACTCAAGCACAGGTGCAGATGTGCACTTCTAGGCATTATTAAAGTGTGCCAGGAAAAAGAGCCCCGTGAAACCTTGTGTGAAAACTCATTTCCATGCTCCAGCTGAGGGAACCAGAGGGAACCTGAGGTCATTTGCTCTGACCCCTCATATCACAAAGGCAACAAAAAAATCAGATCTAGAAAGGTTAAACGACTTGACCAAGTTGAAATATCTAGTTAGTGGCAGAAGACAAATTAGAATCCAAGGTTTATATGTGCATATAAGTGTGAGTGCATATAAACGTGTATCCAAGCGTGTGCATATGCTCATATATGTAGTACACATATGGAAAATCATATTATCCTTTTCTCCAAATAATTGCTCTTAAGGGAACACATCTTAAGAAAGTGACCTTAATTACAAAATCAGTGTTCTGCATTAATATCATGGAACCGTTATTGGAACAAACAAACAAAAATATTGCACTAATCCAACAATAATAGTGTGGTTAAGTAAACCATCATGTAACCACATGATGTGTTATGCATAAATTAAATAATGTTGGCAAAGAGTTTATGCACGTACAGGGAAATGTTTATCTTTTAACATTCAAGTGGGAGAAACTCAGGGTTTAAAACTTTCTGCAGAGTAACCTCAACTATGTCCAAAACTTCTCAGAAACCCGCCAACCTGCCAGCAGTGAGCCTTTCTGGGTGGTGGCTTTTTGGTCCCAACTATTTCTCCATCTTTTGCAACTTTCTGTGATAAGTATAGATAGTACCGTTTTCAAACAGAAGAGAAGATGGGGATCTGTAACTAAAGGCGTGCACGCAGGCTCCTGACCTGGAGCAGTTTGGCGACATTGCCTGTCTTGAAGCTCCAGGTCAGCAGGCGGGACCTCATTCTGATAAAATCCTCGGGTTTGTCCTACATTCAGCATGTGTTTGGCCCTCAGAGGACGGCTCTGAGATTGAAAGTCCCCTTTTCTGGTGTCTCCCGGTGTGCTCTTCTGTCCAACCTCAGAGACCGCATGTAGCCCTTGGGGCTGGTCCTCAGGCAAACTTCTGTGTCCCAACCCTGCCTCGAGAGAAAATGGGCTGCCTCTGACCTTGCATTCCTCTTTGTTTACTTCCCCAAAGCTCTAGAGAAGTCACAAGCCTCCTGGCTTTTGCTGTGACCTCCCACAAGTTAGTTCACAAAGCAGGACTCACCAGAGAGGGGAGGCGGGAGGGGAGAGTGGACTGGCGGGCCCAGCCCTGGCCTCGGGCGTCCAGTGGGAACTGGGCTTCCTCCCCCTGCTTTCCCCTTTATGGAACCTAAGTTTGGCACGAGGTAGGATGCGCCTGTCAGACTCTGTGGCCACCTGCTGAGTAAAAACTGGACCCTCTCCTGAGGTCCGGGACGGGCCATGGGAAAGCTGAGTTGTGTTAGTTAAACAGCTCAATCTCCGCTCTTCATTTGCCTGACTTGGAGGGGCTCGCTCGGCGCGGGCGACGGGCCCAAGGCGTTTATTAGCAATCACAGCACGCTGCATGGACGGCTGGACAGATACTGCAAGGCTAGCCAAAGTCCTCTGTCCTGCTCAAACCAAGGACACTGCCCACGGCACAGGGGCTATACGGTGATAAACACAGCCTCCCCCTGAAGACCAGGGTGAGGGAAGCGGAAAGTGAAGCTAATGTTAAGTGTCAGGGAAGTTAGTTGAAACAACCTTGACCCAAAGTGCTCTCAAGTACTCGGGGAAAACGCATCCACGGTGCACTGTGGAAAACATACCCCAGTTGCAGTGCCGGCCGGGCGACTCCAGACACAAGCCTGTTGTTCACTCTCCTCGTGCTTCCAGAAACACTGAGGCTTCACGATGTGCCAGGTGCCCTTCTAGGTAAATGAGATGCCAGAAAGACTCCAAGTGAGAAGAGGAGACACATGTGTGTGTGGAGAGTCAGTGCAACGTGGTGTGACCACGGGACAGCACAGGCCAGGAGCACCATGGTGACAGGGAGGTAGCGTGCTACAGTCCAGCGGGTGGAGACTGGGCTGGATTTGAAAGTGGAGCTTTCCAGACTGGGATAGAGGGATGTAGGCAGAGGAGAGGTATGTGCAAATCCATGGCAGAGAGGGGCACCAGGGCTCTTTGTATCCCAGAAGAGCACGTGGGAGGCAGGGGTCAGAGGAGAAACAGCTGGAGAGGTGGCCAGTGGTGGGTGTGGAGTTCACGGCCACGGGGATGAGGAGTCTCTCCAAGTGCACACATGTGGTGGGCAGGGCTGGGCGACCCAGGCCAGCACCCCTCAGAGTGAGCTTCCATGGGAGCATCTGCATCACCCAGGAGCTTCTTAGAAATGCAAATTTGCACCCCCCGGTTAGTGTCCTGGGGCTGCCCTAGCCAAGTACCACAAACTGAGTGGCCTAAATAACAGAAGCTTATTCTCTACAGGTCTGGAGACTCGAGTCTGGAATTGAGGTGCTGGCAGAACTGTTCTCCAAAGCTCTGGGGAAGGAGCCTGCCTCGCCCCTTCCAGCTCCCGGCAGCCCCGGTGTCCCTTGGCTTGTGGTAGCATCGCTCCAACCTCTGCCCGAGTCTTCCCACAGCCGGCTGTCCCACCCCATCCGTTTATCTGTACCTGTGCCTCTCTTTTCTCTTCTTATAAGGACACAGTCATGTTGGTTTCTTATATGGACACCACCCTAATGAGTACGTCCTCATCTCGATTACATCTGCAAAGACCCCGTTTCCAAATAAGGTCACATTCATGAGTGTTGGGGTTAGGATGTCTATGCATCTTTTTGGAGACATGATTCAACCCAAACATCCCGTGTCCGTCGAATCAGAACCGTGGGTTTTGTAAGCACTACAGGGTGAGAAGTGCTGTTCTAGAGAAATAGAAAATGTGCCTGTATTTTCCCAGGGAGTACCCGGAGCCCAGGGCAACCGGAAAGCAAGTCTGTTGTTGGCAACATGCAAGGTCCGGCACCAGGCAGCAGCTGGTGCACACAGCTACCTGGCAAGCATGTGCTACCCGGATAAACATCCCGGTCCACAAGCATCTGCAGCTCTTCCTGATGGCCCAGCATGCAGTAGGTGTTTCATAGGTGCTGGCTGGTGGATTGGCCTCTTTAATCTTAGGATTCTGCAAATAGAGATTGGAACAATTCCAGCCAAGGTACACAGAAAGAGCTCTGCTAAATTTCTCCCACAGCTTGCCACAGAACCCTGCTGCTGTCGGAGACTTGGAGACACAGACGGCTTTAGAGATCACTCACGGGATCAGGACTTGGCGTGAGCCAGGCTGGAGAGTGCCCGAGAGGGCAGCAGCGATTAGGATGGCCGTCCACTCACTCTGGGAGTCCATGAAAGCAAAGGATCACTTCAACAAGTTGAGAAAAACTGTACCTGTTGCGCTACATCCTCCGGAGGGCTTTTCCTTTTTAAAAAGTTCAGATTAGCTGTTGAACATGGCGCAGAGTGCTTTCTTCTCCTCCCACCTCAACCTCCCTCCACCGCTTTTGTCCGAATGAAATCAGATCATTGCAAGCAGGGCAACCTTGAGGAGGAAATGATGTCCCCAGAGCTCCATGTAGCATCTCCGGCCATGGGCAGAGGCCAGGCCGGGCACCGGGAAGGAATTGGCCGTGGCTGTGCATCTGCTCTGTGCCAGGGGCACTTGCCACTCACGTCTGGGGCCGCACTGCCTTCTTGCATTTGCTTTTAATCCTCATGTTACAGATAAAGAAATTCAGGCTTAGACAGTGAAGGGGACTTCTTGTCCACAGTCACACAACCAGTAAGCAGAAGAGCTTTTTCCAGCTCCAAAACCAGCCCTTCTTCTCACTCTCCCCCCATTCCAGGAGCCGTTCTGGGAGGCACAGACCATCTCTAGTCCTTGAGCGCACCTTCTGGTCCTGGAGCAAGGAAGGCGCCTGGACCTCCTGCTCTAGGGTTCTTGGGAGCTGGGCTAGGGATGGTCACCTTGACTCTCCATTTTCAGAATTTCTTCGGTCCATCCTTCCCTGCTGAGAGCATCGGCTGCCACGTTCCTCCAACGAGGACCCATCCCTGGTGCTCGCAGATGGCTCTGAGCGTGGGCAGTGACCCGTACGGGACCATCTAGTTCTTTTTGGTTTTTTTTTTTTAGAGAATTTTATATATTCTTTTATTATTATTATTATTTCAGCATATTATGCGGATACAAATTTTAAGGTTTCAAATTATGCCCTTGTCCCTCTTCCCCGCCACAAGTCTGAGCTTCAAGAATGGGAAAACAACCCATCTTGTACTTGAATTCTGTTTTTCTGAGTCTGCGAGGCCAGGCTCTCTTTGAGAGGCTGAACTGCAACCTGTAACGTTTGGGCTGCGGGAGGCCACATTGCCCACCATTAAATATGTACTTTTTTCAAAGAGATACCTGCACCATAGGCAACTCTCATGCAACCACTAAAACCAAAACATTTACAAGTGAGGTACAAATAAAACTAGAAAACCCAAATGGTTCAACTTAACAAATGGATTTAATGCGACAACAAAAGAACTGTCATTGGCTGAAACCCGATCTCAGCTTGCAGAGTGCCTGTGGGGCTCCCATGTCTTTTGTTGTCCCCCCTCTTTTGAATTACTGGGAACCTCCATTTGCCCTGCAGGTCACTGTGACCCTATATGGCTTTTATGTGTTGAGGAAATAGCAGTTAACCTGAAGGACTGCTTCTGTTTCTTTCTGCCACAAAGACAGCAGTCCCATTTGGCCCTACACATGAACGCAGGGCTCTGCAGAGCCGGACAGCTCTGAGCTGCACGGTGGGGCTCCAGGCCACCACGCCTGACTGCTCGTCCCCTTTCTATATTATCACCCAAAATAGCCGGAGCCTAAGACATCCCTGAAGAACATTGATTATCCCCAAGCACTTGTCTCTGAATCTGAAAACCTGAGGTCTGTGAAACACTGCTCTAGACTTTTAGACATCTTACCATTTTTGAAGTTTTACCCTCCAACTTTTTTTCTGAATGTCTATGTCATTTTGGAAGTATGCTTTTTAATGCAACAAATAATAATAATAAAGCCAAAAACATCAAGTTATCTCTTCTAATGTAACTTCACTTTCCAAATGAAAATAAACAGCTATCCAAACTGATAAATTCTTCTCCAATAAGTTGTTTAATTCCCTATGTTAATCTTATTAATTTGGCCAGAACTCAGTCTTCTTTGCGAAAATGGCGATGTCTTTGCTGTTGTGTGAGAGTGATGGACTAGAGCCATTTCTCCAAATATTCATTGATATTCATTCCCAGAATGAATATCAAAGCCCAGACTGAGCGACGGTTCTGCTTTAAAGTTTTCAGAGGTGGTTATCTTACTGTGAGAAAATTTATAGTAACCACATAGACCTTGGAGCTCCAATTCTAGGAGATGACCTCTCTCAAGAAGCAGCCCCCGTTTTTTTGACCTTTGATTATACTTGAAGGTAATACTGTGCAGACTACTATAAAGAAGTGAAGGCTCAGAGAGGTCACACAAACCACCCAAAGTCACACAGCAAATCTGTCGGTTGGATCAGTTCTAAGCTTCAGTGTCCTGACTCCCATTTTAATGTTTGTGCCTGGGCTAATTCCGAGACTGGACTTAGAGAAGAAAGGACTTTCTCAAACAGGCAGCTTCCTCCGTTTCCAAAATCCTGCTGTGCTGCTGGGTCACCCTGGCGTGCACCAGGGGTACTGCCTGCCATGCCGTGCACGCCCCGTTTCCCACGTCCAACCCCATGTCTTGGTCACAGTCGTGCCCATTTTGTCTGGCACTGGGGGTCTTAAGCAACTTTCTCTGTTCATGTACATGTTCAGTCTGGGAAAACTTTTTCCATAAACTCATCATATTTCCCTGGCAGGTGCATGCGGTATCTTCTGAGAGTGGCATAGCAGGTGGTGAACGCTGTAGCCCCATGGTCCAATGATCAGCTTCAAATCCTGGCTCTGCCTCTTAGTAGCTGCGTGGTGTTGGGCAAGTGACTCCAAAGTGCCAGGAAAACTTGGGGGCCACACTGGTCCCCGCCATGTGGCCACCGGCTTCTGAAGGCTCCAATCCATCCT